TACCCTCTAGTTCCATCCATGTTGTTGCAAATGGTAGGATTTGTTTTCTTCTTATGGCTGAATAATATTCCATGTGTATATGTACCACATCTTCTTTATTCATTCATCTACTGATGGACACATTAACATTTTAAAAGCAAATCCAATTGCATGACATTTTTCAAAAATGCTTATACCATCCTAATGAAAACAAATATTTCTAGCTAACATTTTCTAATTGAAAATAATAGAAGAAACCTGTTTAAAAATACCTGGCTACATTAGGAAGCCTAAGAGAACCACTTACTATAGACAGAATGATTAAAGACTTCACTTCCACCTTGGAATTATTTATTTTACTGCAAATAAAAATTGTCAAATGGAAAGATGAAACTTATACTCTTAATAAAATGACATTTTTGGAGACAATTATTTTGTTAGTAGATACAGCCACAGCTTACAGTTAACTAGCGACTATATTTCCTAAATGAGTGTAATAATAATTTTCACCCAAAAACATATTTTAAAGAACTTTTTATTTGTTTTTAGTAGCTCATGGTTTGTTTGTTTTTTTGCCTCCTATGGAGAAAAAGCGAATGCTTGTGATGAAAAAATGCAAAAAGCCAGCCAACCAAGAGTGTTTAATATGGCAATTGTAGAATAAAGTAAGTTTTTAAGGCAATTTTTAAGAAATGTTTCCTTAGGGATTAGAATAAACTCATCCTGTCAGAGTATTTGTTAATCCTATCAGAGAGAGAAAGGAGAGGGACTTCACCAAAGCATCTTTCATGCAATACATGTGGGAGATCCACCTTCGTGTTGATAAAGCAGGACTATATAAAATGAGAGTTCATATTACAAAACTGTAGCCGCCTTCAGTACCACAACAGCATCCCTCTCCACAGCCACACGTCCATACAAACATAACTGATCCTCTTTCTGCTTGTGATTGAAGACGGAATGTTTTTCATTTCAGTATTTAAAGTCTGGTTTGATGTTACAGGAATCCTCCACTAGCGGGGGAGACCATATTTTAACAACAGCACTGACACATTATGAAGTTGCAGCCCTAGGTGTGTAATGAATACGTAATTTCAGAGACATGCCAAGCATTAGTCTAGGAAAAAGATGCAAGTGTTGATTCATTAGCATAACAACACAGATGTTCCTTCTGGTGTTTGGGGTTTATTTATTTATTTATTTATTTATTTATTTATTTATTTCTCCTGATTTACTAAGTAATCTGGGGAATGAGGAAATTGAATATGAAAACTCTATGTTTGTGGCATATGCAGTCTTGCTACGAACATCTGAACAGTCAATGCTGTGTTTCCACTGGTTTCTTAATATTTTTCTTAATTTTAATTTTCTTTGACAGGCCAGCTTTGTTTCTGGTACTTCATTTTCCATTGAAATCTCATGTTATTAATACATTTACAGTTCAGTAAAAAAAAAAACAAAATGTCCTTAGGACTAGTGGCAGGGAACTAGAGATGGGAATTCAGAGCCAAGCACCCACTTTCATACGCAGTTTGGGGAAGGGGGTGTGTTTTCTAGTTACTGCAGGGAGATCACAACTGATCAATAATGACTCAGGTTTTAGATAAAAGCAAATATTTGAACCTATTTGGTTATGATATTTAATGGGCATTTCCACCTCTGCTTATTCTCCTGTAATGTTTCTTATTTTTAAAATTTACAACTCAGTAAAGAACTACCAATTCCTTAAGGCTTCTGTTTAATGATTAATTACTTCACAGATGGAAAAGTCAAACTTCCATTCCTTTCTCAGATTCTACCATCCATAAAACACAATATAACTTATTTCAGAATGAGTTATCTAAAGAGCCAAAGACTATTACAAATAAATGGACACAAAATCGTCACATTGAACACATGGTCATTTCTTTACCTCTTTAAAAAGAGGACTTGATATTTTATCCCAGAACATATATTTTCATGGAATATAGTTCCATCTGGTCTTTTTCTTTGCTACCTTTGTTGCAATTATGACCAGGTAATTTAATTACCTGATAATTAAGAAAAGAAAAAAAAAACTGGAGTTCATAAGGATTTAAGAAAGTTATTCAACCTCTACTGAATCTAAAGAAAATACCAAGATCTGTGTTCTTGACATAGTAGCTTCAGTTGTTCTGATGTACTGTAACTGATTTAAGCTTTTAATAGTGTTCAGGCTAAGAATCTATTGCTACCAATTAGAAATTATACACTCATGGAAAGTGAGATAATTTGAAGAACTAACCTAACTAAACAGTAGTTAAACACAGATGTTAACATGCAAGAAAATAAAGATAGTGACTACAATATAAAAACTCCTTTGCATTTTAACTTTTAATGGGAAGTAAATCCTCTAACACTGTTCAAAAAAGCTCATGACACAGCATTTTAATAGTTACTCCATGGCATGGCTCAGGAATGATTCATCTGAACCTACAAAGACCCATTATCTAAAATAAAATAGTGAGTTTATGTTTAACATGGGAAACAGAGCTAACTGAACTCAATGCTTTTTCCACTATGTTATTCACTGGTACTCTTTAAGGTAAGAATTTTCTATTTCATTAAAAGACTTTGCCTATATTTACTCAATCTTGGGTTAATTAAAGTGAATGGTAATTTAATAAAAAATGCATTGGTAATACTTGTCATCTGCCATAAACAGTTAACGAAAAGATGTGTATTTGAACAGTGGCAGTTAATTAATATTCAGTTCAAGTGTTTTCTCATCAAAGTAAGAGATTGTTTTCATTTCTACCTGTTAATCATGAAGGATAGGTCAGCAGGATTTGACTTCATGGCATGACAATGTTATGCTATAGAGACTTAAACAAGAAAGCACTAAATTAGGGTCTGCAGTAGGACTTCAGAATTTATTGAATGCAAACATTTTGAATGCTAGAAATGGTGATTAAAAAAACAAGTAGACATTTAAGAGACAAAATAGGCTTTTTCATGTCTGAAATGATTTAAATATGTTCCTAAAAAAATTGATTAGAACAATGCTTTGTATCTATACTAAGACTCTGGAAATGACTTGCTACTGATAGATCTAGAGATGCAAATAGTGTTTGTAGGAAAATGTTTTCATCTCTGACTGACAATGATTTCTTCTAAGCTCACCTGGGTCCTGAGAAACTTCTCAATAGGCCATTTTCTTCAGAAATTTTGTTGTGATT